ATGGGGGTGTGACTGGCTTACCCCAGGGTGTATGGGGGTGTGACTGGCTTACCCCAGGGTGTATGGGGGTGTGGCTGGCTTACCCCAGGGTGTATGGGGGTGTGGCTGGCTTACCCCAGGGTGTATGGGGGTGTGGCTGGCTTACCCCAGGGTGTATGGGGGTGTGACTGGCTTACCCCAGGGTGTATGGGGGTGTGGCTGGCTTACCCCAGGGTGTATGGGGGTGTGGCTGGCTTACCCCAGGGTGTATGGGGGTGTGGCTGGCTTACCCCAGGGTGTATGGGGGTGTGACTGGCTTACCCCAGGGTGTATGGGGGTGTGACTGGCTTACCCCAGGGTGTATGGGGGTGTGGCTGGCTTACCCCAGGGTGTATGGGGGTGTGACTGGCTTACCCCAGGGTGTATGGGGGTGTGACTGGCTTACCCCAGGGTGTATGGGGGTGTGGCTGGCTTACCCCAGGGTGTATGGGGGTGTGGCTGGCTTACCCCAGGGTGTATGGGGGTGTGGCTGGCTTACCCCAGGGTGTATGGGGGTGTGACTGGCTTACCCCAGGGTGTATGGGGGTGTGGCTGGCTTACCCCAGGGTGTATGGGGGTGTGACTGGCTTACCCCAGGGTGTATGGGGGTGTGACTGGCTTACCCCAGGGTGTATGGGGGTGTGACTGGCTTACCCCAGGGTGTATGGGGGTGTGGCTGGCTTACCCCAGGGTGTATGGGGGTGTGACTGGCTTACCCCAGGGTGTATGGGGGTGTGACTGGCTTACCCCAGGGTGTATGGGGGTGTGACTGGCTTACCCCAGGGTGTATGGGGGTGTGGCTGGCTTACCCCAGGGTGTATGGGGGTGTGACTGGCTTACCCCAGGGTGTATGGGGGTGTGACTGGCTTACCCCAGGGTGTATGGGGGTGTGGCTGGCTTACCCCAGGGTGTATAGGGGTGTGACTGGCTTACCCCAGGGTGTATGGGGGTGTGACTGGCTTACCCCAGGGTGTATGGGGGTGTGGCTGGCTTACCCCAGGGTGTATAGGGGTGTGACTGGCTTACCCCAGGGTGTATGGGGGTGTGACTGGCTTACCCCAGGGTGTATGGGGGTGTGGCTGGCTTACCCCAGGGTGTATAGGGGTGTGACTGGCTTACCCCAGGGTGTATAGAAGTGTGACTGGCTTACCCCAGGGTGTATAGGGGTGTGACTGGCTTACCCCAGGGTGTATGGGGGTGTGACTGGCTTACCCCAGGGTGTATGGGGGTGTGACTGGCTTACCCCAGGGTGTATGGGGGTGTGACTGGCTTACCCCAGGGTGTATGGGGGTGTGACTGGCTTACCCCAGGGTGTATGGGGGTGTGACTGGCTTACCCCAGGGTGTATGGGGGTGTGACTGGCTTACCCCAGGGTGTATGGGGGTGTGACTGGCTTACCCCAGGGTGTATAGGGGTGGGACTGGCTTACCCCAGGGTGTATGGGGGTGTGACTGGCTTACCCCAGGGTGTATGGGGGTGTGACTGGCTTACCCCAGGGTGTATGGGGGTGTGACTGGCTTACCCCAGGGTGTATGGGGGTGTGACTGGCTTACCCCAGGGTGTATGGGGGTGTGACTGGCTTACCCCAGGGTGTATGGGGGTGTGACTGGCTTACCCCAGGGTGTATGGGGGTGTGACTGGCTTACCCCAGGGTGTATGGGGGTGTGACTGGCTTACCCCAGGGTGTATAGGGGTGTGACTGGCTTACCCCAGGGTGTATGGGGGTGTGACTGGCTTACCCCAGGGTGTATGGGGGTGTGACTGGCTTACCCCAGGGTGTATGGGGGTGTGACTGGCTTACCCCAGGGTGTATGGGGGTGTGACTGGCTTACCCCAGGGTGTATGGGGGTGTGACTGGCTTACCCCAGGGTGTATGGGGGTGTGACTGGCTTACCCCAGGGTGTATGGGGGTGTGACTGGCTTACCCCAGGGTGTATGGGGGTGTGACTGGCTTACCCCAGGGTGTATGGGGGTGTGACTGGCTTACCCCAGGGTGTATGGGGGTGTGACTGGCTTACCCCAGGGTGTATGGGGGTGTGACTGGCTTACCCCAGGGTGTATGGGGGTGTGACTGGCTTACCCCAGGGTGTATGGGGGTGTGACTGGCTTACCCCAGGGTGTATAGAGGTGTGACTGGCTTACCCCAGGGTGTATGGGGGTGTGACTGGCTTACCCCAGGGTGTATGGGGGTGTGACTGGCTTACCCCAGGGTGTATGGGGGTGTGACTGGCTTACCCCAGGGTGTATAGAGGTGTGACTGGCTTACCCCAGGGTGTATGGGGGTGTGACTGGCTTACCCCAGGGTGTATGGGGGTGTGACTGGCTTACCCCAGGGTGTATAGAGGTGTGACTGGCTTACCCCAGGGTGTATGGGGGTGTGACTGGCTTACCCCAGGGTGTATGGGGGTGTGACTGGCTTACCCCAGGGTGTATAGAGGTGTGACTGGCTTACCCCAGGGTGTATAGGGGTGTGACTGGCTTACCCCAGGGTGTATGGGGGTGTGACTGGCTTACCCCAGGGTGTATGGGGGTGTGACTGGCTTACCCCAGGGTGTATGGGGGTGTGACTGGCTTACCCCAGGGTGTATAGGGGTGTGACTGGCTTACCCCAGGGTGTATGGGGGTGTGACTGGCTTACCCCAGGGTGTATGGGGGTGTGACTGGCTTACCCCAGGGTGTATGGGGGTGTGACTGGCTTACCCCAGGGTGTATAGGGGTGTGACTGGCTTACCCCAGGGTGTATGGGGGTGTGGCTGGCTTACCCCAGGGTGTATGGGGGTGTGACTGGCTTACCCCAGGGTGTATATGGGGGTGTGACTGGCTTACCCCAGGGTGTATAGAGGTGTGACTGGCTTACCCCAGGGTGTATGGGGGTGTGGCTGGCTTACCCCAGGGTGTATGGGGGTGTGACTGGCTTACCCCAGGGTGTATGGGGGTGTGGCTGGCTTACCCCAGGGTGTATGGGGGTGTGGCTGGCTTACCCCAGGGTGTATGGGGGTGTGACTGGCTTACCCCAGGGTGTATGGGGGTGTGACTGGCTTACCCCAGGGTGTATGGGGGTGTGACTGGCTTACCCCAGGGTGTATGGGGGTGTGGCTGGCTTACCCCAGGGTGTATGGGGGTGTGGCTGGCTTACCCCAGGGTGTATAGGGGTGTGGCTGGCTTACCCCAGGGTGTATGGGGGTGTGGCTGGCTTACCCCAGGGTGTATAGGGGTGTGACTGGCTTACCCCAGGGTGTATGGGGGTGTGGTAAGGGCAATATATAAGGTCGCGGAATACCGTCTCGCAAAATTGTTTATGGATTTTTTTTTTATTTGAAGCAGGAAATTGTTGTCCACTAGTCAGACCTGGATTGTTATGATGGATAATGGCCTTTTAATGGGTTGTAATGGGGAGAATGGCATTTTAATGGGTTGTAAGGAAGGGGGGGGAGGGGGTAGAATGGCATTTTAATAGTTTTACGACAACATATAACTAGTTTGAGATGGAGAAATTTGATGTTATAATTGGCTGACCCCCTTGTGTTAGTGTAGTGAAGAGGAGGACTGGTAGCACTCAAGGCGATGTCTAAGATGGATTGAACGTGTCAAGACAAAGTCACTGAGGCATTAGAAGAAAAACATAATGTAGATGTGGTATACACGGACTTTACAAAGGCAGTCGACAAATGTGACCATGGAGTGATAGCACACACAATGAGGTCACTGGGAATAACTGGTAAAGTAGCACGCTAGATACTGTGTGTTCTGGTCGACAAAAAACTAACAGTCAAACTTATAAAATCGAGTCCAAACGCAGTTAAAAGCTCTGTACCTCAGGGTACAGTCCTTGCACCACTGCTTTTCCATATTCTCATATCTGATATAGACAAAAATACAAGTCACAGCTTCGTGTCATTTGCTGATGACACAAAAATAAGTATGAAAATTTCCTCTGCTGAAGACAGTGAAAAACATCAATCACATATTTAATAAAGTTTTCGACTGGGCAACAGAAAATAACCAGATGTTTAACGGTGATAAATTCCAGGTACTGAGGTACGGTACCTTCTCCTTTTTCCCTCTCTCCTCCCCTCGCTTCCCCTCTCGCCTCATGTTGATTGACTCTGCCAGTGTTGGTGTATGATGGCTTGATAACGGTCGCCACTGCTCGAACCGTCGCCACCTTCCTGTCGTGCGGTCGACTGGTTATTTGATAGACGATAACATTGCCCCCTGTAGTGACTTCATCACACTTGATAGAAACATCGTGACTGTGTGTATACACCGTAAACTTGATGTACACACACGACTGTGTGTATATAAACTTGACGGACACACAGGAATGTGTATATATGAGGGTAAACCTGATAGACACACAGGGACAGTGTATATACAAAGGTAATCTTGACGGTCTTGCCTATCAGGGTGTAGAGGAATGCGAGCTCCAGCTCTTGGTCCCCCGCCTGCTAGTCTTGTCGTCCCTGTTACATTTTAATTTAACTTCCCCGAAGTTGGTGTTCTTGGCAGAATGCGGTCACTAAGCACTAAGTTGGAGGTGGCTTCAGCATCTTCTCCTCGGAGGAAGCAGAGACGTCATTGTTCTACAATATATATTTTCCTAGTATCAAGTTAGATTGAAGTGTGAATTCTGTTCCAGGGTGATGCAGCATCAATGGTTGTTGAATCCGTGCAATGACCAGACCACACACTAGAATGTGAAGGGACGACGACGTTTCGCTCCGTCCTGGACCATTCTCAAGTCGATTGTGAATGACTTGAGAATGGTCCAAGACGGACCGAAACGTCGTCGTCCCTTCACCTTCTAGTGTGTGGGCTGGTCATCATACTTCAGCCACGTTATTGTGACTCATCGCCTGCAATCCGTGCAATATATTGAGACACTTGTGTCTTCTAATAGTGTAAGTAACTTTTATTCTCCTTGAGCATCTTGGGAGGTTATGTTGGCTGCAAACTGATTGCAATGTTTGTGTGTGTTGCAGAGTGCAAGACTGTGATCAGTGAAGGTGTTGATGTGCAGCTCTCGGCCAGCTCCTACAAGCCTTGGCACCGTAGCAAGTCTTGCCTACCGGGGGACGCTTCCCTACACTCCCACAGAGCCTGGTGTGCCCGCAGGAAGGACGGTGAGTGTAGCTACCTCACACACACACACACACACACACACACACACACACACACACACACACACACACACACACACACACACACACACACACACACACACTAATCTCTCTTAGGCGGGATCCAAGAGTCAATGCTCGATCGTGCAGACACAACTAGGTGAGTACACACACACACACACACACACACACACACACACACACACACATAGGGACATATAAAATACTCAGGGGAATTGACAAAGTGGAAATAGATCAAATGTTCACACGTAATAATAACAGAACGAGGGGACATGGGTGGAAACTGGAAACTCAGATGAGTCACAGAGATGTTAGGAAGTTTTCTTTTAGCGTGAGAGTAGTAGGAAAATGGAATGCACTTGGGGAACAGGTTGTGGAAGCAAATACTATTCATACTTTTAAAACTAGGTATGATAGGGAAATGGGACAGGAGTCATTGCTGTAAACAACCGATAGCTAGAAAGGCGGGATCCAAGAGTCAATGCTCGATCCTGCAAGCACATATAGGTGAGTACATATAGGTGAGTACACACACACACACACACACACACACAGCCTGGCGTGCCCCCAGGAAGGACGGTGAGTGTAGGAACCTCACACACACTTTACTGCTTGCTTCACTCACACAATGGTGAAAGCAATCTAAAAAAAAAAGACATATCTAGGAATGGATATTATTAGGGATCTTAAGCAAGACAGTCAATGTATAAATGACAGGAAGCAAATAGGACACTGTGGTTATCATTCATCTAAATATCATCTAAATATCTAGATGATATTTCTAGATATCTAGAAATGATATCTAGAATATCATTTCTAGATCATGATATCTAGAAATGATCACAACAATATCTTCAGTATTCATCTGCAGTTTTTCTTGCCTATTTATTTCCCAATTTGTGAATGTTGCATGTTTACCCCCCCCCTAGTGTGTACATATGTGTGTGTGGCATCTACTGCCTACATACCCTGTTGTGTGCACCAATCAGTTCCCTGTGTACCAGCTACATATCTGTGTAGACACCAGTCCCTGGCCTTGCCTGCCAAAGTGTATACACACACACACACACACACATACACATACACACCCTGCCTCCCTCACCCTATACAGAGTCTTACACACTACTCTCTCTCACCCTACCAGCACACCAGTGGTTGCAGTGGGACCTGGGGCCGCCGCACCAGGTCACCGGGGTCGTGACCCGGGGCCGAGGCGACACAGGACGTAAGCACTGGGTCAAGACCTACACCCTCACCTACTCCAACGACTCCAAGGTCTGGTTCACCTACAAGGATGGCAATCACCTCGATACTAAGGTGAGCCACCAGGTGAGACAAGCGTGGCTCAGGTGACTGGGGTAGGGGATTGGGGTGGGGGATTGGGGAGGGAAGGTGGGGGATTGGGGAGGGAGGGTGGGGGACTGGGGGGAGGGAAGGTGGGGGACTGGGGGGAGGGAAGGTGGGGATTGGGGAGGGAAGGTGGGGGATTGGGGAGGGAGGTGGGGGATTGGAGAAAGGTGGGGATTGGAGAGATCTGTGGGAAGAGTTCTGGCGGGAGTTTGAGAGTTCCGTGATAGTCTGTCATATATTATTGAAGTTATATCAAAGCTCTTTGTTGATTATAACACATGTTGTTCTTATATAATTGACAAGCCGCCGGCTTCCGTCGAGGCATCTAAACAGATGGTGACCCTCAGGTCAATCAATCAAATATGTAAATACTGATAGCCATCTTGTAGCCTTGGACTCTGGACAAATCTTGGACAGTCAGGCATCTTGAGGAGTATTGTCCGGCTCAGACAATGGTCAGAAATTAGATATGGACCGTGGAGTGTGTTCTCACCTAGTTGTGCTTGAGGGGGGGTTGAGCTCTGGCTCTTTCGGCCCGCCTCTCAACTGTCAATCAACTCTTTTTTTTTCACACATACATACCGGAAGGAAGCAGCCCGTAACAGCTATCTAACTCCCTGGTACCTGTTTACTGCTAGGTAACAGGGTGAAAGAAACTCTGCCCATTTGTCTCTGTCAAGTCCGGGAATCGAACCCGGGCTACAGGATTACGAGTACCGTGTGCTGTCCACTCAGCCACCAGGCCCCAGTGTGTTGAGCACTTGAGACGTGGGATCGACGACCCAGAGCTCTGTGGCGTCGCCTCCCTCGATATCTGCCATGATGCATAATCCTCACAATGAATCATGTGTGACATAGATTCATTGTGCCACACATGACATACAACACACATGAATATATACGCCACATATGCAATACCAGACACACCTGTAGTTTCTCTGCTATTGCATTTCTTTGCAATATCTGATAGCACTCGTTTCTAGTCAAACGAAGCAAAATACATTAATCAGGTAGTAAGAAATAGAGCCGTGTACCTAATGATATAATTCCGTAGTAAGTGAAGTAAGTTCTATATATAAGTGTGTGTACACTTATATATAGAACCGATAAGTGCTTCTCGTCATCTGTTTGCCTTATGTTTGTACTCAACCCGGTACGGGGAGCCGGTCGGCCGAGCGGACAGCACGCTGGACTTGTGATCCTGTGGTCCTGGGTTCGATCCCAGGCGCCGGAGAGAAGCAATGGGCAGAGTTTCTTTCCCCCTATGCCCCTGTTACCTAGCAGTAAAATAGGTACCTGGGTGTTAGTCAGCTGTCACGGGCTGCTTCCTGGGGGTGGAGGCCTGGTCGAGGACCGGGCCGCTGGGACACTAAAGCCCCGAAATCATCTCAAGATAACCTCAAGAAGAAGAAATTCACGTTTAAAGCTGTTGGGTACTGAAGGTTTTACTGGCGGACGTTATAAGTGTCGACACGTGACTGTGGCTTTCACCTCAAGGTTAATAATCCGGTGAATGATTAATGGTTTCAACAATTATTTATGTTGAGTCTTGACTGATGTGAGTGGCAGGTGGCGGGTAATTAGCGAGCTAATGAACCGTGTCTGGAATACCTTAGACGAGCCACACCACAATCTTAGCGGAAGGTCGCCAGGTATACAACTCTTTTCCCGCCAGTGTAAGAACTATTGAACAAGACCGCGCCACACACCGCCAGATAAGAGATGATGTCGGGGCTTAGCGTCCTCGCGGCCCGGTCCTCGACCAAACCTTTTTGTTACACACCCCAAGGAAGCAGTCCGTAGCAGCTGTCTATCTCCCAGGTACCTATTTACAGCTAGGTGAACAGGGGCATCAGGGTGAAAGACACTTCCTATTTGTTCCCGCCTCCACCGGGGGGATTGAACCCGGAACCATAGGACTACGAATCCCGAGCGCTGTCCACTCAGCTATCAGGCCCCGCTGATACAAGAAAAAACTTACCCAGTGTCTGAGTGGCCTACATCCCATTATTCACTTATTTCTTCACCTATGTGTGATTACTTCACCTTACCAACAACTTCACCTCTTTCACATGTGTGTTTAAGATACATTTGTACCTTGTACACCCGTACCTTACCTTAAGATGTTCCAGAGTGGAACAATCTTGAGGTAAGATGATGAAGTGGATGTTGTTCAAGTGGAACAAGATGTTCCATAGTGGAACAATCTTGAGGTAAGATGATGTAGTGGATGTTCAAGTGGAACAAGATGTTCCATAGTGGAACAATCTTGAGGTAAGATGATGTAGTGGATGTTGTTCAAGTGGAACAAGATGTTCCATAGTGGAACAATCTTGAGGTAAGATGATGTAGTGGATGTTCAAGTGGAACAAGATGTTCCATAGTGGAACAATCTTGAGGTAAGATGATGTAGTGGATGTTCAAGTGGAACAAGATGTTCCATAGTGGAACAATCTTGAGGTAAGATGATGAAGTGGATGTTGTTCAAGTGGAACAAGATGTTCCATAGTGGAACAAAACGCTGTAGGGAAATAAACCCTTCAATAATTACTGAAGTTTCTTTACCATGAATATCTGTAACTTGATTGTTCTTTTAATTGATTGTTCTTGATTGTTCTGGCTTTTAATCCCAAGAGTAAGATAATAGAAGCATAGAAAGCTTGTATTATGATATACATACCGCCAACATCACACACTCTCACACACACACACACACACACACACACACACACACACACACACACACACACACACACACACACACACACAGACCAAAGGCGGGACCAAAGAGCCAGAGCTCAACCCCCGGAAACACAACTAGGTGAGTACACACACACACACACATATATATATATATATATATATATATATATATATATATATATATATATATATATATATATATATATATATATATATATATATTAGTATATTTTGGTAGCAGTCTTGTAAACATATATTATTAAATATGACCGAAAAAGTAAGATTAATAATTCTAACACGAATTTTCGTAATGTTTCTTATATTTCTTTTCACTGTCGATGATAATTGAAAAATCAATTCTAATTGATTTGATTGAGAATTGATTTTTCAATTATCATCGACAGCGAAAAGAAATATAAGAAATATTGAGAAAATTCGTGTTAGAATTATTAATCTTACTTTTTCGGTCATATTTAATATATATATATATATTATATATTATATATATATATATATATATATATATATATATATATATATATATATATATATATATATATATATATATATATATATATATATATATATATATATATATATATATATATATAGTGGCGCCATTGGTTTTGTGGTTATTGTGGAGGCTGATTGCTCTCTAGAGTAATCAGTGGACACCAACGATTCAAGCCTCGTGTCAAAGTGTTGGGTAAATACTAAAAGTTTTGTGATGAATTAAAAACTGTTGTTGTGGGGGGAGATTAATCTTAATTTACTTGACTCACTGTGGGTATATTGCTAGGCTGGGTTACTGCTGGTGGTCATTACTTGCATGTTCGCATGCACGCGCGCGCACACACAGGCACACACAGGCACACACACACACATACACACACACGCAGGCACACACACACACACATACACACACACACAGGCACACACACACACACGCAGGCACACACACACACACAGTTTCAAATGTAGATATGATAGAGCCCAGTAGGCTCTGGAATCTGTACACCAGTTGATTGACAGTTGACAGGCGGGACTAAAGAGCCAGAGCTCAACCCCCGCAAGCACAAATAGGCGAGTACAAATTGGTGAGCACAAGCACACACACACACACACACAGATTCTAGCTAAGGAAAGAAAAGCGCCGAGAAAATATGAGAATGTTTCCTTTCACAAAGTGGTAGACGGTTGGAACAAGTTAAGTGAGAAGGTGGTGGAGGCCAAGACCGTCAGTAGTTTTAAAACGTTATACGACAAAGAGTGCTGGGAAGACGGGACACCACGAGCGTAGCTCTCATCCTGTAACTACACTTAGGTAATTACACACATTTAGGTTACATATATCTAAAAAATCCTAGCAAACAACACAGAAATCATCGATAGATACAGCGATAGCAGGCGGCTCGACGTCTGCGAGGCACTACACATCAAGAAGTCAACACCAGCAATCAACAGCCAATTGATGCACAACTATATTCTACCCACTTCAAGACTCCGCTCCAATATAGAAGCATCAAGAAATATGGGCCAATAAAAATAGGCCTTCTGCAGTCACCTACCTTGTATTTCATTGTTTCGTGTTCTGTCTTGTGTTAAAAGTTTATTTTCACCTCATCCAAAACTATTGTAACATGTCACTTCACCCAAATGTAGGTATAAAAACTCGAAAGATGTTTAAGCTCTATTCAGTTAAAGTTGTGTGTGTTTGTGTAAACTAAAGTCTTTGAAAATGTAATAAGTTTTACGAAACGCGCTCAAGTGTCGCGTCAGACTAGAAATAAAAATGAATTTTGGAGAATTGATCTTTGAATTACCATCAACAGTGAAAAGAAACGTAAGAAAGATCGAGAAAATTCGTGTTAGAATTATTAATCTTACTTTTTCGGTCATATTTAATAATATATGTCTACAGGAAAGACTGCTACCAAAATATACTAATATATATATATATATATATATATATGTCGTACCTAATAGCCAGAACGCACTTCTCAGCCTACTATGCAAGGCCCAATTTGCCTAATAAGCCAAGTTTCATGAATTAATTGTTTTTCGACTACCTAACCTACCTAACCTAACCTAACCTAACTTTTTCGGCTACCTAACCAAACCTAACCTATAAAGATAGGTTAGGTTAGGTTAGGTAGGGTTGGTTAGGTTCGGTCATATATCTACGTTAATTTTAACTCCAATAAAAAAAAATTGACCTCATACATAACGAAATGGGTAGCTTTATCATTTCATAAGAAAAAAATTAGAAAAAATATATTAATTCGGGAAAACTTGGCTTATAAGGCAAATCGGGCCTTGAATAGTAGGCCAAAAAGTGAGTTCTGGCTACTAGGTACGACATATATATATATATATATATATATATATATATATATATATATATAATGTCGAACCTAGTAGCCAGAACGCACTTCTCAGCCTACTATGCAAGGCCCAATTTGCCTAATAAGCCAAGTTTTCATGAATTAATGTTTTTTCGACTACCTAACCTACCTTACCTAACCTAACCTAACTTTTTCGGCTACCTAACCTAACCTAACCTATAAAGATAGGTTAGGTAGGGTTGGTTAGGTTCGGTCATATATCTACGTTAATTTTAACTCCAATAAAAAAAAATTCACCTCATACATAATGAAATGGGCAGCTTTATCATTTCATAAGAAAAAAAATAGAGAAAATATATTAATTCAGGAAAACTTGGCTTATTAGGCAAATCGGGCCTTGCATAGTAGGCTGAGAAGTGCGTTCTGGCTACTAGGTACGACATATATATATATATATATATATATATATATATATATATATATATATATATATATATATATATATATATATATATATATGTCCTGGGGACCATTCAGGCTTGTTCGCGCATATATATATATATATATATATATATATATATATATATATATATATATATATATATATATATATATATATATATAATGCAGAATACTAACAAAAACAGGTGTTTGGGTTGTGTTAACAGCCATCACCAGCACTGTTGAGTTGTTCTACCCACAAAATCTAGACTAATACCTCTATATCTTCCTTGTGAACTCTTAACTAAAACTTGAATCTTAAATGTTGAAGTGAACAAACCTTCAGATTTCAATCTTTTAACAAAATAACCGGTAAAGTAACAGGCAATCAAACTGTTGTGTCTGGCACGGACATCAGCTCTATTATCAGCCTTAGTGCCGGAAGGTTACAAGACAGGTTTTTTTTTTTTTGTGGCTGCTTGAACTAATATGTAAAGTTCTTAAGAGTAAGTGTAGCTACTGATTATCTCGTTAATTATATATTATATATGATATATTATATATTATATATTATATATTATATATTATATATTATATATTATATATGTTTTATAACCTGACTCCAGTTGACATGATTGGTGTTTTCTCATTCATTTGTGTGTGTTTTTTTTTTTTTAGGAAATTCTTCGTTCAGATCTGCCAGATACTGTACTTAGAAAGGCTGGAAGGTGTGGCTACAGGTGTTGTTGACTATCCCACAGGTGTTGTTGACTCTCCCACAGGTGTTGTTGACTCTCCCACAGGTGTTGTTGACTCTCCCACAGGTGTTGTTGACTCTCCCACAGCCCTGGAAACACAAACCGAAACTGTCTCTATTTTCCGCTTGTTACAACTTGTAATAAAGTTGTTACATCTTGGCTTAACGTGTTTATGACGTATTAGAACGTTGTTACAACTTGCTAGTTTGGTTGTTATAACTGGTTAGGAGGTGTTAAAACTTGTTCGAACGTTGTACCAACGTCGTAGTTTCGGTGTGTGTTTGGCGGGAGGTGTTGTTGACTCTCCCACAGGTGTTGTTGACTCTCCCACAGGTGTTGTTGACTCTCCCACAGGTGTTGTTGACTCTCCCACAGGTGTTGTTGACTCTCCCACAGGTGTTGTTGACTCTCCCACAGGTGTTGTTGACTCTCCCACAGGTGTTGTTGACTCTCCCACAGGTGTTGTTGACTCTCCCACAGGTGTTGTTGACTCTCCCACAGGTGTTGTTGACTCTCCCACAGGTGTTGTTGACTCTCCCACAGGTGTTGTTGACTCTTCCACAGGTGTTGTTGACTCTCCCACAGGTGTTGTTGACTCTCCCACAGGTGTTGTTGACTCTCCCACAGGTGTTGTTGACTCTCCCACAGGTGTTGTTGACTCTCCCACAGGTGTTGTTGACTCTCCCACAGGTGTTGTTGACTCTCCCACAGGTGTTGTTGACTCTCCCACAGGTGTTGTTGACTCTCCCACAGGTGTTGTTGACTCTCCCACAGGTGTTGTTGACTCTCCCACAGGTGTTGTTGACTCCCACAGGTGTTGTTGACTCTTCCACAGGTGTTGTTGACTCTCCCACAGGTGTTGTTGACTCTCCCACAGGTGTTGTCGACTCTCCCACAGGTGTTGTCGACTCTCCCACAGGTGTTGTTGACTCTCCCACAGGTGTTGTTGACTCTCCCACAGGTGTTGTTGACTCTCCCACAGGTGTTGTTGACTCTCCCACAGGTGTTCGGGGGGAACTTGGACAAGCACACTGAGCGACGTCACTACCTCAACAACCCCTTCAAGGCGCGCTATGTGCGCCTACACCCGCAGCGCTGGCGCAAGACCATAGCTCTGCGCGCCGCGCTCCTCGGCTGTCCTCACAAGGGCGACTGTGGCGACGGCTTCTTCAGGGTCACGCCTGACACCAGCTGCGGTGAGTGACACACACGCCTGACACCAGATGTGGTGAGTGACACACACGCCTGACACCAGCTGCGGTGAGTGACACACACGCCTGACACCAGCTGCGGTGAGTGACACACACCCCTGACACCAGCTGTGGTGAGTGACACACACGCCTGACACCAGCTGCGGTGAGTGACACACACGCCTGACACCAGCTGCGGTGAGTGCCACACACCTCTGACACCAGCTGCGGTAAGTGACACACACGCCTGACACCAGCTGTGGTGAGTGACACACACGCCTGACACCAGCTGTGGTGAGTGCCACACGCCTGACACCAGCTGTGGTGAGTGCCACACACCCCTGACACCAGCTGTGGTAAGTGCCACACACCCCTGACACCAGCTGTGGTGAGTGACACACACACGCCTGACACCAGCTGCGGTAAGTGCCACACACGCCTGACACCAGCTGCGGTGAGTGCCACACACGCCTGACACCAGCTGCGGTAAGTGCCACACTCGCCTGACACCAGCTGCGGTGAGTGACACACACGCCTGACACCAGCTGCGGTGAGTGCCACACACGCCTGACACCAGCTGTGGTGAGTGACACACACGCCTGACACCAGCTGCGGTGAGTGCCACACACGCCTGACACCAGCTGCGGTAAGTGACACACACGCCTGACACCAGCTGCGGTGAGTGCCACACACGCCTGACACCAGCTGCGGTAAGTGCCACACACGCCTGACACCAGCTGTGGTGAGTGCCACACACGCCTGACACCAGCTGCGGTGAGTGCCACACACGCCTGACACCAGCTGTGGTGAGTGACACACACGCCTGACACCAGCTGTGGTGAGTGCCACACACGCCTGACACCAGCTGCGGTGAGTGACACACACGCCTGACACCAGCTGCGGTGAGTGACACACACGCCTGACACCAGCTGTGGTGAGTGCCACACACGCCTGACACCAGCTGCGGTGAGTGCCACACACGCCTGACACCAGCTGCGGTGAGTGACACACGCCTGACACCAGCTGTGGTCATGACTGATTATAATGAGAGCAATCACAGGGCCCCGTCTAGGAGCGGGACACAGAGTGTTAAGAATGTTTTACATACACGCCGTTCGTTCCCTAGTTGATTATGCAGCGCCTGCCTTACTCACTCTTTCTCCTGGTCAGTGGGCAAACGTTGACGTTATTCAAAATGATGCAAAGCGAGTCATAACAGGAGCTCCCAGATGGACTAAAATACTGAACCTAAGACTAGAAATGTCGATTGAAATGATGGGTAAAGAGGATTGTTGCGTGCATGCTGACTAAGATATTGACTAGACCTAGACGAAGTTCACTTTAAGATATGATCACTGGAGCACTAACTCTGGACAGAAGAGCCTCCAATAGCAACAGGTGGACCCATTGTGCGATAAACACCATCAATACATTCGATATGGCTAACACAGTCACTGAGAAGGGTGCCGACGAAATACATGTAGACTTTGTTATGCAAGCCCCTTGGGATCTCTGCCAGCAGACTTTAAGATTATGGTTATTGAAGGAAAAAAGAACCAGACTAATCCTCGTCTGCTACGCAACATTGCACAGATGCATATAGAAGCAAACATGGCATCTGACAGCTTCACATACTTCACAGATGGATCAGTAGACCAGCAGGGACAAGAGACCGGAGCTGCAGTTAAAGCAAGAAACTGTAAATAGTTGGAGGCTCTCAAGTGGGTGTTCGACTTTACAGAGATGCTAGTCATTCAAAAGGCTTTGGAACATGCTCTTGCTCAACACCGACAACATGTTATTATACAAACAGATTTGAGAAGTGTCATTGAAACCTTGTAACAAGAACATATATGTGATAACATCCATCTGATCACAAATGTCATATCATTAATGCAAACACTCAAACGTCAAGGCCGACGGGTACTTATCAACTGGGTGCCAAGTCATGTGGGAATAATAGGATATGACATTGCAGACGAAGCTGCAAAACTTGCTACTAAGAGAAGAAATGTAGACATTTACATACCACAGACTCTATCACAGATGAAGAAACTAATTAGAAATAAATCAATGCAAAAGATGTACAGTGACCACAACACAGCAGTTGCAACATCAGGATCTGCGGGTTGGTACAAGAATTCAACCAACTACGAACCACTTAGTTTGATGAAAGGGAGCAGTAGAGCAACAGAAGTACACTTACATCGCATCAGGCTTAGGTACCCATGTGCATGGGAAATAGGCTTACAGGTTGCACACGTTCAGAGGAAATGTCAACACTGTGGAGAAATGCCCGACAGACCACTGGAACATTATCTAACACAGTGCACAGTTACAAACCCATTAAGATTTCAATTTAGATTCAACAGAGCAGAAGTTGTTAAACACATGGGACAAAATCTTACTGAAGCGACCATACGAGTCATAAATACTCATACTCCGCCTAAGTAAAATAGAAACAGGCAACACTTAGTGGGCCAGCCAGAGGCTTAGGGCCCGCCCAGTGGGCCAGCCAGAGGCTTAGGGCCCGCCCAGTGGGCCAGCCAGAGGCTTAGGGCCCACGCAGGAATATCCCTGGAAAAAATCTAAGGTGAGTACCACACTGTTCAGACCAGCTGCGGTGTCAGCTGTCCCAAGAGCCACGGCTCTTGGGTCCTGCCTCTTAACCCTTAATCGATTGATGTACAGGTTTCTGAGCCTATTGGGCTCTATCATATCTACATTTGAAACTGTGTATGGAGTCAGCCTCGACCACATCACTGCCTAATGCATTCCATCTGTTAACTACTGACACTGAAAGAAATTGTCTAACGTCTCTGTGGCTCATTTGGGTACTCAATTTCCACCTGTGTCCCTTTGTATGAGTACCACCCGTTCTAAATAATCCGTCCTTATCTACCCCTGACAATTTCTCTGAGAATCTTATGTGTGGTGATCATGTCTCTTCTCCTAACTTGTCTGTCTTCTGAGTGTGTGTGTGTACTCACCTATTTGTGCCCCACAGGATCGAGCTTTAGCTCTTCGACCCCGCCATTCTAACAGCCGGTTGTTTAAAGCAATGACTCTTGTCCTATTTCCCTGTCATATCTTTTTTTTTAAATGATGGACACAATTTGCTTCATTGACTTTCACCACACTGTTTGGTTGTACTGATCCTTGTATTATTGTCCAGTCCTGGTCAAAATGTTATCTTGTCCAGACTTGGACACAACCTCCACTGTAGACAAAGAGTTGTGCACTTTAAGGCGTCTGTGCAACATTTAAATCGACCTTTGCAACCATCTGTTTCTTGCACAATTGAGCATCTCTCGACAAGAGCTTGTGGCAGAGTGGTAGCAGGTTCACCCCACGGCTCACCAGTGATTTCGGCTAGGTTCGAACCCTAGGCAGACAGCCCATCCTCATAAACAAAGACCCAAAGTCCATTCCATGCACCCACCAAACCCCCTGTCTATCTTGAGGTTATCTTGAGATGATTTCGGGGCTTTTAGTGTCCCCGTGGCCCGGTCCTCGACCAGGCCTCCACCCCCAGGAAGCAGCCCGTGACAGCTGACTAACACCCAGGTACCTATTTTACTGCTAGGTAACAGGGGCATAGGGTGAAAGAAACTCTGCCCATTGTTTCTCGCCGGCGCCTGGGATCGAACCCAGGAACACAGGATCACAAGTCCCGCGTGCTGTCCGCTCGGCCGACCGGCTCCCTGAATGAATGAATGAATGAATGTCTATGAATGAAAAGCGGTTTACACACGACTCACAACTGAGGGCGTTCGAAACGTCATCAGTTTTTGATAGCGTTTCAATTTTTTTTTTTAAACAATTGTTTTAAAAACAATTTTTAACATAAATTAGCTTGTTAACATTGATGAGGGCGTGAGAGATACGAGTCATAATACGTAAGGTGGTCATACTACTACACTGTACTCATATCTCATACTTAGCCGTGTGTGATATGAGTTATAAATACTCATCCATGGCCTAAATGAGACAGAAATGAGTAACACCTTGTGAGGCCAGCCAGAGGCTCCAGGGGCCGGCGCACAAACATCCCTGTCTCCTCCAAGAAACAGAAACTCCTTAGGTCGGCCACTTCTATCTTAGACGGTGACAATGTAGCTGTGGTCAAGATGGCAGGATCAACGTGTTTCGCTTGACTGCTTCAGAGTTGCTGAGCGCTATATACAAGTCTCTCCTGCTAAAAAAGTATCATATACTTCCCTGTCAATATATCTGTGTTGACAGATGTCAACACAGGTGTCAGCAACACTGATGGATCACTAATACCAAAGATAAACACACTGCGATCACTACAGTTCAAGTTGAACAAGTTCTCCTTGTTCATGCTGTTCCTTGTACATTGTTCAGTATAGGAGTAGATCACTGGTGACTGGTGTTCACAGACTGAGAGCCGTTTCCTCCTGTTGTTCATGGTAAGTCTTACTCACAATAGTTACCCCTGGAACCCGTCTTGCTAATTGGTTCACTGCATGATCCCTAATTACTGCTTGCTGGATAGTGGCGGACAGTTTAGAACAGGTTTCCAGTCGATCCTCCTGTGGTTAATGCAGTGCGTGTGTGCGTGGGTGGGAGTGTGTGTACTCACCTAGTTGTGCTTGCGGGGGTTGAGCTCTGGCTCTTTGCTCAACTGTAATGTGGTTGTGTGTGTGGGGGGGGGGGGTGTGCGTGTGCATGCATGTGTGTGCGCAACGCACACGCATCAGTATATCTACCTGCTGGAATGTCTACTGACCATCACCAGGTTGTAACAAACAACAGTTGTTTAATTCCAAAGTATCAATTTACTGAAAGGTGAACACAGGCATCAGGCGAATAGCAACGTTGCCCAAGCGTTCCGCCCTGCCAACGGAGTTGAACCCGCGATCCTCTGAGTCGATAAACAGCCTACTGCACCATAGGACTCGCCCACGTCCCGACTCCTCCTCCTCTTCCCTCTCTCTCTTGCATATTCTAAACAGTTTCAAGAGTACGTTAGACGCGTGTTC